ATCTGAGGTAGATGGAATTTAAATTATTAATTAGCTAATTTTAAAATATGAAGACTATCTTGGTAGCTCCAGTGAAATCACAGGGTCCTTAAAAGTGGAGTTGGTGGTACAGCTCAGTGATAGAGCATGTGCCTAGCATGCATGATGACCTGAGTTCAAGTCCTAGTACCACAGCAAACAAACTAACAAAAATGGAAGTGGGACAGAGTCAGAAAGTGGGAGTGATGCATGTGAGAAGACTTAATTTTCTGTAGCTGGCTTTGAGGACAGAGGCAGGGGACCAAGTACCAGGGAATGTAGACCTTTAGAACTTCCAGCCTCTAGAAGCTAGAGAGGGTAAGGAACTAGAGTCTCTTCTGAAGCCTCCAGAATGGAGTCCTGATCTAGTGATGCTTTGATTTAAACCTAGTAAAACCTCTGTCAGACGTCAGGCCTACAGAACTATAAATTAGTAAGCTTGTATTAAGTCACCAAACTTGGGGTAATTTGTTATAGCAGTAGTAAGAAACTGATACACACCCAATCTCAGGAGATCTGCCTGGCAGTTTCCATCTTACAGAAACACTGCCTCCCTGCTTAAACAGTCCACTGCTTGACTTTGCCTTTTGCTGGTTGATTCAATAAAAAATATTAAACACTATCTGTATCAGGCTCTGTGCTGTGTCTTGAAAAATTGAGATAAGTAAGACATAATCATGCCCTTTCATTTACTTAACAAAGATCTGTGTACTTGGGCTCTAGATCGGATGTGGCAAAATAAAAAGAAAATATTTCCTGCCTCTTATAAGAAATGAAAGCCTTTCTGTCAAAACATTTTGAAACTCCAGGTTTGTCTTTTTCTTCAGTACCCTTGTTATAGGACTAATATTTGCCTTGATGTTACTTATTTCTTAACATGTGAATTGTAACTTGTAGCATTCATTTCCCATTTCCCTTTTGTAAGTCTCATAATTACATTGTGGGAAAGCTTTTGTTCCCTTAACCTAATATAACTTGGTTTCTCACCCACAAAACCCCTGCCTCCTTTTTTGACTTTAGACTCCGACTCTGTTCCAGAGTCCCATTCTCCCAAATGTCCAAGGATTCTTGCTGAAGTGCCGCCTTCCTTTTTAAATCAGTCAATCAGGTTTAGACTGTGTGGTTGAACCTCGACCAGCGAGGAACAGCCAAGCTCTGTTTTCTGTCAGGGATAAAAGGAGAAGAGCATCTTAACATGGGGTGTTTGTTCCTTTGTTCTTGGACACTTCTGATCAGAAGTAAAGTTTGTCTTGCCAAGAAGCTTTCAATTGTAGTGGGGGTCTCTTTCTCTGCAACCTCAAATTTATTTCTAACACCTCGAGAAGGTATTTGACATAAATACATGATATAGAGGTATAGAGGAGGGAACAATGAACTCAGCTGGGAGACAGTAGGGAAACCGCAGGAGAAGTGGAGCTTGGATGGACAGGGCTGTGCTAGCCAGACAAGATGGAAAGAGATGTTCAGAGCTTTGGTGCAATGTGACACTCCAAATGTGACCAGTGCAAGTGAGGATCAGAATCTTAAATTTGACTTTTTTTTGGGTTACTTTTCATTGAAATGGAAATTGAAATGGCTGTTGGCTACCATATCAAACAAAGCAGGCTAAACCAGCTTGTAACCTTGTGGATGTTGCCTTCTCTCTCCCTCTTTCCCATTGCTTGCTGGCTTGAAATCAGATGCAGTGTGACAAGTGGATCATGCCCACAGGACATCACTCTGGGATGGAAGTAGGAAATGGAAGGAACACATCCCTGGCCATATAAAGGGTCAGCTTCCAGTCCAGCTCATATCATACCGTCATGTGGGAGATATAATGCCACATGGTTGAAACTGTTGCAGACAAACTTGTGTCCTCTCGGAATGTCCCCCACAGGCTCATGTGCTTGAACACTTGGACCCCAGCTGGTGGAGCTGTTTTGGGAGGTTTTGTGGAAACTTTGGGACTGTGCTATAGCTACAAGTTAGTCAGTTAGAGTTAGCCTTGAAGTCAATATCCATTCCTGACTCTCTGCTTCTGAGTCTGCCAAGATGTGTCATGCTGCTGACAACCTCATGCCGTCAGTTCCTACCACCATGGGGAGAGTCTCCCCAGCCAATACACCTTCATTATCTCGAGACACTGTGTTCCTGAAACACTGCATCAGAATAAATACTGCCTCCCTTAAATTGCTTCTGTCAGGTGCTTTGTCACAGCAACAAGAGTAATAATGAACACATCTAATACAAAAGTCTCCTAGAGTACTAAAGAGCAACAACTATAATTTTGATCAAGTTTTTTTAATCTCCTTCTGTACAGTGGACACTATACTGAATTCATAGTCACATTTAATCTCTATACAGTCCACTAAAGTAGATGGTAGTATGCCTCCATCCTCTCCAGAACCTGGCTCAGTAGAGGTGGCATTAGATTTTTTTTTTTTTTTTTTTTTTTTTTTTGGTATTTTTGAGACAGGGTCTCCTTGTAGCCCCAGCTGGCCTGGAACTCATAGAGCCCCAAGTGCTGAGACTAAAGGTGTGGGCCACCACACCTAGCAAAATTTTATTTATTTTTATTTTATGTGTGTAAGTATATTGCCTACATGTATGTAAGTGCACTTATGTTGTGCAATGCCCTTGGAAGTCAGAAGAGGGCGTTGGATCCCCTGGAACTAAAGTTATGAACTGTTGTCAGCTGTTATGTGGATGCTGGGAACCGAATCTGGGTCCTGTGTAAGAGCAACCAGTGCTCTTAAGCACTGAGGCATCTCTCCAGTATTCTAATGAATAGCATTTTCTCATGAAAAGTCAGGAACATTGTACAATCCATTTTTAAATGCAGAGATAATTTGTTTGATACAGGCATTCTTAGCTATTTACCCAACAGTCACCTTACTTTAGCCTATAAAATGAATCCCACTTTTTTTCAAACAGTAGACAGAGTCCTTGACATCCAGAAGAGTGGGTTCCTATTCAGAATTCATGAGAAAAACCCTAGACATTTTCTTTTGCCAGTGACTGGTCTAATCTAAGGGTAACTATGTTCTGGCACAGATCTGAGAAATAAGAAATAAGAAATAGGCAATGAGAAATGAGAAATAAGCAAAAGTCTGATGGGAAAGTAAAGAGCCCCAAACCTGCCTGGGATGAAGAAGCAATACTGGAGCTATAGCATCCATCTGACAACCCTGAAGACAAAAGCCTTTTGAAGACAAAGACATAGAACGGTAGAATAAGATCGAAGAGGGATTCTTGATGCACCTGAGTCCTTGTTGCTCCTTGCCTGGATAGCTGACCTCTAGACTTCTTGTAGTTTGAGAAAAACAATTTACTGAGGGTTACGATAAATTGGGTTTTTAGTTTTTCAATCATTGAAATCCATCTGAACTGATACACAGACACTTATCTGCTGCTTTCCTTAGGAAAGTCACAGAGCTTATGGGATCTACTGCATGCTAGTGGCTAACTGGTGGGGATTCCAATTCCTAGTGGCTCCCACAATAAGAATTACTCTGGTCTCCCTCAAACATATACTTTAGGGAATATGAAAAATAGTCTTAACAAACAACAGAGCTCAAATTCAATACATACTATATTTTTCCCCACCCTCAAACTAAAACATTTTTATCTCCTTCAATTCCATATGTTTCTTGAGAGATGCAGTTGCATGAAAGTCTTTAAATATTCTGTTGCACTAAATTGTAAATAGTCTATAATTTTAAAACAAATGTTATAAAAAGTAATATGAATCTCTTAAGTTTAAAAGTAAAAAAAAATGGGCCGGACATGGTGGCGCACGTCTTTAATCCCAGCACTTGAGAGGCAGAGGCAGGTGGATCTCTATGAGTTCAAGGCCAGCCTGGTCTACATAGTGAGTTCCAGGACAGCTGAGGCTACAGGGAGACCCTGTCTCAAAAAGAACAAAGGGGGAAAAAAAAGTAGAAAAATGAACTCCGAGGCATAAGAAACTAGATCAATAAAGAATTGAGTCATTTGCAGGATCATTAAATTTCAAAGACAGATTTAAATACATAGAAATGCATTTAAGTACTCACAAATGGGAACAAGGGGAGTTTTATCCTTAAATTATACTAAAAACAGATTTAATTATTTATGTATAAAAAGCATTCTTGGCCAGGCATGATGGCACACACCTTTAGTCTCAGCACTTGGGAGGCGGAGGCAAAGGCAGACAAATGCAGGTGGATCTGTGCGTTCGAGGCCAGCCTGATCTACATATTAAGTTCCAGGCCAGATGGGGCTACAGAGAGACCTTGTTTCAAAAAGACCAAAAAGAAAAGTATTCTCCAAAATTATTTTATTTATCTGTTAAATTTTGAGGCAGGGTCTGCTATGGAACTCATAGCTTCTCTTGCTTCTACCTTCCAAGTGCTGGGATTGTAGGTGTGTGTCATCACACCTGGACTAATCATCCAGAATTATAGATATTTAAAATATTTTTAAAGCTGGATATTTCTAGGGGAAGGGAAAGAGAGATTTTCCTGACCATGTACTATGCTGGTATCTTCCCATGTTGGTATTCTTTAATCTGATTTATAATGGAAAGCTTATGTGGCAACTGATCTCACATTTCATTCACAAAAAGAGAAGATTAACCATTAAATGAGCACATATTTCAGGGGGATTTCACAGAATAAATGAGCTAGACTTATTTCTCTTTCAAACACCAAGTTATCTAAAATAATTTCCAGATAATCAGGTTATGAAACAGCAAATTAAGTGATTTTCAGGCAAACCCCGGGAAGTTTTGTGTTTGTGTTTTTGACAAATCTAACAAAAAAGTTGGAAACAGCAAACAGCGTGAGTGGTGGCTCATGCCTTTAATCCCAGAACTCTGGAGGCAGAGACAGGCAGATCTCTAGGAATGGAGGCCAGCCTGGTCTAAATAGCAAGTTCCAGGCCAACCAGTGTCTGTCTCACAAAGTTGAAAAGTTGATAGCAAAATATGTTAGGTAAGGACAGCATTGAAAACAGAGACTTACCTTGGAAATGATTAATGGTTCTCCGTGTTCCAGGCCACCTTTCAGAGTGAAGCCCCAGGGAGCCCCTCCCTCCAGGAGCGCTTCCAGATAAATGAACCTTTCCTTGGGGGTCCTGCCGGGGCTTGGCGTGGCAGTAGGCTCAGCGAAGTTCTCAGTGGTCCTCATCACGCCAAACACATGGTCCCTCTGCTTCGGTGCAAAATGCCTGGTTCAGATTCCGGCAAGCAGAGCTTCACAGCACCAGTTAAACCATCCGTCCCGTTACACACCCGCCGGGAGAGGCTGGAGAAGCGGATTGTGCGGCTGCAGCTTCCTCCTAGCTTCCCTCCTGGATGCTGGACCAGGGCCCTGGCCTCCGCGCCTCCTGCACACCCTCTGCAATTCCGGGCTCTCGCGGAAGTCTGCGGTCCAGGCTGTTCACAGAAACCTCTTTCAGGGTCACCACAGATTGCTTTGAACTCTCACAGGCGCGCCAAAGCCCTTTCCGTCTATTTTACGGAGAAAAGTAAAAAAGCATCTCACCCGTCTAGAAGGAAAGTGGCAAAACCCGCAAAGGAATACCTCCTTATTGATTGATCATCAACCCCTGCTTCCTCCGCTAGTGAAATTTACCATGACAATAGCCGCCTCGCTCGCAGAAGGAGTTTTAAAAAGAAAGCCGGTACTTACTATGCTTCGGCTGCCTTCGGAATTTTCGATCCTGTCCCCTGGGGACAGAGAGGCCGGGCTAAAACTTTGTACTCGATTTAGTCATCGTTTGCTTCTCTAGGCGGGAGAGGAAGGGGGGTGGGGAAGAGGGACAGGAGAGAGAGAGAGAGAGAGAGAGAGAGAGAGAGAGAGAGAGAGAGAGAGGGAGAGAGAGAGAGAGAGAGAGTGTGTTTCGACACTGGGAACTGCAGAATTCAGCCACAAAGACCCGACAATCAGAGCGGGCCTAACACGGAGAAAACTGAAAATAATATACGGATGGCTAATGACCAAGGGCTAGAAATAGTTACCAGAAGAGCGTTCCCCACCTTACTTTTACTAATTAAAGCAGAACTTCAGGGACCCAGCGACAAGCATTGATAATTTGTGCTGGACAGCCAGGTTTGAGAAGCACTGCCTAAGCAGTTTGGGTAAACATTCAAGTGTCAAGGGATTTATTGATTTCATTAGAAGAAAATACCACATATATATGATCAGCCCCTCCAGTCAAATTTCTACTTGTTTGACTTACTCACATGGGAAGGAAGCTTGTGTCTGTCCCCATTTTAATTGTGGTCGACCCCATGATTGCTTGTCATCCATTCTTTAAAGAAAAGAAGTAATACTCTGTTAAGTACTAGGCACTTATGGCTGAGTTCAGGTTATCAGTGTAATTTTGTAAAAATACTATGTAACATTTAACATACATCTCCTATCCAGAAGCCTCAGTTATGAAGTTATTGGAACAAAATAGAATTCTTTCCAAGGAATATGTTTACCAAAAGTTTTTCTACTTAAATCTGTGATAATATGAATCTTATTTTTGGAAGCAGAAGTTAAAAACTACAGTGAGGGATGATAACAATTCAATTTTGGTGTTTCCACTTATACCACTAAGAAGTAATTAAGATTAAGACACTGGACAACCATGAAATGGTTCCATAATTATACAGTGTGTAAGTTAAGTAAGCCTGGCAACCTAAGTTCAGTCCCTGGAGCCCACATAAAAAAGCAGGAAGAATTGGTGCCCATCTCTAAGTTAAATACTCCTACAGCAAGATGGGAGGAGAACACCTGGAAGGTTAAAATCCGACTGGGCTGGAGTACACAGCAATGGCAGAAATCAGAGGCCCCACCTCACCAAGGTGGAAGGTGAGAACTGATTTCCAGAAAGTTGTCCTCTGAGCTCATCATGCACACCACTGCATGTAAAGGGCCACCCTGCCAGGTATGATGTGTGTGTGTGTGTGTGTGTGTGTGTGTGTGTGTGTATGTATGTGTGTGTATGTGTGTGCCATACACATATACACTCACACACACTAAATAAATAAATAAGTTAATTAAAATTATGTGTGTGTGTGTGTGTGTGTGTGTGTGTATGTGTGTGTATGTGTGTGCCATACACATATACACTCACACACACTAAGTTAATTAAAATACAAAGACTGTGATACTTCAGCTCAGGATGTAGCTCAGTTGGTGGAGTGCTTGCCTGTCATACAGGAATCCATGATGAGCACTACATCAGGACCATCATAAGCTCAGTTACATAGCAAGTTGGAGGCCAGCCTGGACTACAAAAGACACTTCAGCACTGAAAGACTGATATTAACACACAACACAGGGCATGTGTTATTGTTTTTGCAGTTTCTGGAAGGGCCTAATACCTGGGGGGAAAAATCATTCTATAGAATGGTAATATGTTAATAGAAACATAGGTGTGCCAAATAAAAAAGCAGTAAAAATTTGTTGATCCTTAAGTGTAATTTAGGTTCTTTTTATTTATGTTTCCTTTTGCAGCTTAATTTCCAAATAAAGAATAAAAGGACAGGTGGGCATGGTGGCAAGAGCCTTTGTCCCCATTAACTCTGGAAACTGAGGCTGGAGGATCTTGAATTGTGGTAGAGTTCAGCTAGCCTCGGTAATATAGCAGTATCATGTCTCAAAAAGAATAAATAAAAATTAGGGCTGGGGAGATGGCACAGTAGGTGAAGCACTGCTATGTAAGTGGGAGCGCTTGAATTCACAACCCCACCATCCATGTAAAAGGTAGATGCAGTGGTGCAGGAATCTGCGATCCCTGCCCTCCTAAGGGAAGATAGGAGATGGAGATAGGAGAATCCACAAGCTCACAGGCCAGCTAGCCTGATGGAAGCAGTAATAAGACCTGTTTCAAGACAAGGAGGAAGGCAAGTACTGACACTCAAGACTGTCCTCTGACTTCCACATGCATGCCATGGCATGTATGCGTCTGCATACACACACCACACCCTCCCACAACTTATTTTAAAGGCGAAATATTGATTTTTCTTTTACCGCACCATTCAAAGTAGTAGATTTATATTAAATAAAAGTTTAAAGTGAATATACACCTTTTTCTGGTAAAAAACCTATTTTTATGAGTCTTATAGACTTCCTTCAAATATACTTTGCAAAACTGAGATTTTTGAATAATTAACATTTAG